GGAGTCAATCGCACGATTGGCCGACTTCGCTAGCGATTTTGGTGGCCCGGCCTTCTCGGCGACGTCACGCGCTATTGCGAGTCATGCGAGGTTTGTCGACGATGCAAATCCCGCAACCATTGTCCGTACGGCGAGTTACGACCATTGCCAGTCCCGTTGAGGCGAAGGGAAGCGATTGCCATGGACATTACCGGCCCGTTCCCCAAGCACAAGACCGGAGTGGATGGGATTCTTACGGTGGTCGACCGACTCACCAAGTTTGCCATGTTTTTGCCTTGTCGCTATCATGCCAAGGCATCGGAGTTGGCCGAGGTTCTCTACGCCGGTTGGATTCGAACTAAGGGTTACCCCAAGGAAATCGTCTGCGACCGCGACACTCGGCTCATGTCCGATTTTTGGTTGGCACTCATCAAGCGATGGGGCTCATCTCTCAAGCCCAGTTCAGCTCGCCACCCTCGACCGATGGCCAGACGGAGAGGGCGCATCAGACCGCACAGGTTCTCCTTCGCACTCTCATCCGCCCCGACCAGAAGGACTCGGTTGAGCGGCTGCCGGATGTCGAGTTGGCCTACAACTCATCTATCCACCCGGCTATCGGGATGTCACCCTTTGAGTTTGAGCACGGCTCGCCGGTCACTTCACCGTTGGACACTATTACTCCACGAACGGTCGAGAGCGACGACCATCTTCTTTTCTTGCGTCGGATGCAAGARCTTCTTGTCAAGGCACGCGATCAGATGGCTAAGACGCAGCAGCGCATGAGCCAACAGGCCAATCGCCAGCGTCTTTCTTGCCCATTCCGCGCAGGCGACCTTGTTTGGGTTTCAGCAGCGGAATTCAGCCTTCAACAAGACATCTCTCGCAAGCTCCTCCCGAAATGGATGGGGCCTTGGCCGATCGTAGCGCCCGCTGGGGACGCACCCGAGGGACCTTCCTTCACGATTCAGCTGCCTGGCCACTTGCCGGTCTACCCAGTCTTTCATTGCTCCAAGTTGGCTCTTTACACGCCAGCGGAACATGACGATTTTCCCGGGAGACGTACGCAAGACCCACCTTCTATGGACGGTTTTCAGGAGGTCGGCGACATCATCTCCCAGCGACACTATGGCAACAAGCCAACTGAGTATATGGTGCACTTTGCATACTGCACACACCGAGCTGACCGTTGGTTAACCCGTGCGGAACTTCAAGCAACAGCTCCAGACGTTCTTGCACGCTATGAACGCAAGATGCAAGGCAAGCCGGTTTCTTCGGTTCCACGCAGCGCCCGCGTCCAGGTTCCACCTTCAGATCGTCGGCTTCGCCCTCGCCCCGGCTTGACTTCATAAGGAGGGGGGGGTGTTACATGCTGCGCCTGCACACGCAGGCCATTTTCCAGGCCCTGCGCCCTTCAGCCAAAAAGCCTAGAATTCAGCCTGAAAACAGGGGCCTACAGTCCCTGTGTCGTTTCAAACTAAAAATGGCAAGAGCCTTTTTAGCCTGAAACGAAGGGCTATTTTCGGTCGTTCACCAGAACGACCGGCCCTGAAAGTCAGGCACCAAACCAGGGTTTCGGGAACAGGCTATTCTTAGCCTGTATCCATGCCAGCCTCAGCAGATGCTGCAGCGCCAGCCCCTGGCACACTTCGGCATTGGCAGGCAGTCAGGAGGCAGGCCATGCATTGGCAAGAGCAGCCTCCTCGGCCTGGCTGGCCCTTCAGGCAGTCAGGAGGCAGGCCG